AAATACCCTCTGGGTGTATAGAAACTTAACGTCATATCCCTGTGTTTCAAAGGACTTTTTTTTCCCTCCATTTTACTGAATAGCAAATTTTTTAATGCCATTAATCCAATCGGTGATTTTTTTTAAAGATAGTTTTATACTAGGCTGTTATCAAAACCCTCCCACTGGGTGGGCCCTTGGGAACTGGGGTGACCGGAGCCCCCAGTTGGTGGGTCTGAACTAGACAATTCATTTCTTGAAGTTTCCACCCAGAAAACAAAATGCGTATCTTTCCTAAGTGAGCTTGTGGACTTTTAAATTCAGAATTCAGGTTTCCTTTTTTAAAAGAAAAATATCTGGGTACTGAAGCAGACTGGCTTTATCGGAAGGATTTTGAGAGCTAGAGAAACAAAGAAAAGAATGAGAGGTAGCAGTGTTAAAAATTACTTCTTGAATCAGGAAGACTGTCCTTAACAGCCCACGTGCTGTTCTCGGGTGGACCCTGCAGAGGGCAGTAGCAGGACCAGGGATGGGGAGGGCCATCCATGGCCTTTGAGCTCTGCTTTCTCTCTGGGGCGGTGGATTGGCCTGAGTTATCCTCTGGCAAACATTGGGTGCCATAGGGACAGGGGCAGGGGCAACAGAATGGACACACTGATGCTCTCAAACAGTGGCTCTCAACCTTTCTAAATCTGTGACCCTTCAATCCAGTTCCTCATGTTGTGGTGACCCCCAACCATAAAATTATTTTCATTGCTACTTCATAACTGTAATTTTGCTACTGTTATGAATCGTAATGTAAATATCTGATATGCAGGGTGTCTTAGGTGACCCGTGTGAAAGGGTCGTTCGACCCCCAAAAGGGTCGCGACCCACAGGTTGAGAACCGCTGCTCTCAAAACATTTCCTACAAACCCAGTCCTTTTCGTCTGGATCACAGCTTTTTGACATCTTCTGTTTGTATTATTATAAGAAGTGAGTTTTTTTTTATTTAAAGGTGTTTTTTTTTTAATTGAAGTCACAAATTTTATTTAGAGAGCAATAGAGCCAAAAGATAGAGTGAAACAAAGGCATTGAATCCACACTTCCTAAGGTTTTCCAAAAAGCCACAAATACAAAGCAGGCGAACCAAAAATGTGTGTATTTGCTGTATTTAGGCAGTGGGTTACCTTTGCATGCTGAAGACTGATATGGAAGTAGGAGGGAAAATGGGGGGGGGTGGGAAACTTTACTTTTTTTAGTTAAGAATTTATAGGAAACTGTTTTGAATGTAATTATTTTCCTAAGTTCGCAGGTAGTAATCAAGGAGAAAGTCTATGCAAATCAATTCTGCCATCATCCCCCATAGAATGCAAACACAGGCTTTATTTAAATAAGCAGTTACTTCAAGAGCTCCTTCTTGGGTTTTTTTTGTTTGTTTATTTGTTTGTTTTTTGTGGGGGGGGGTTGCTTGTTTTTATTTTTATTTTTTTTGTTTTGTTTTGTTTCTTTGTTTTTCAGCACAGAGATCTAGGAGCAAGAGATGTTTTACTATGTACATGACATTGTTCATTTCTTCCCATTTCATTCTAAGATGGCCTTTCCCCTGCCCTGGAGAGAAAGGAAAATGTCAGGAGAAATGTATTCAGAATGGGACTGGGGAGCTGTGAGGTCTGAATGCAGATGACAGCACTGTGTTACAAGTGGCAGCTCTGCTTTATTTTCATTCAGGTGGTTACTGTCGTATTCGTAGCAGAGGTCAAAAGGAGATAGCATTCCATCAAATCAAATAAAAAATAGTATGCAGGGCTCAAGAGAAAAGAAACTGCTCAGTCGGGTGCATGTACATTTATGTGTGGATATGATTAAATTTCTTTTCAAATAGCATCATTAGGTGTGATTTTTTTTTTAAGCAGACAATTAACATTCAACCTAAGCAGCAGCTTGCTTGGCCTTGGTCGCGGTATCTTTTATTCCTCCCTAGTTAGCTACGCTACAAGTGTCCGAGGATATATTTTTCTACGTACCTGAGAGGTATTTTTACAATTGAAGACCAACTTAATAAATTAATATAGCAACAAGTGTAAGGAGGTTACAGTGGGGAGAAAGACTTTATCTTGATAGAGAAGCCATTAAACACTGGAGTTGTCTTTGGCTCTTGGTCACAGAAGGCCTCATGAAAAGAGCAAATCTTCAGAAGGAAATTAAGGCAGAGAGTTTTGCTGAGAGGACAAAATCACAAAAACAATATTCAGATACTTATCTGCAGAGTGCAGCTGCTGGACTGGGATTTGGTAAAAGCCCACCTCGGGGGTTTTTCTGATAGTGGAATTGGATCGGGCGTCATCCTGTTAGAAATCTATGCACACTGTTGGAGAATTCCAGAAGAAGGTGCTGAGCATAGAGCTCTGACATTTTTAAGAATTGATCTGAAAACGAATCAGCAAGAGACTAAGACAGAATCTTTAATAACCTAACCAAAGGCAGCAAACTGTCCCTGAGGCACGTCTTATTCTCAAGCCCTCTGTGCCCTTCCTAATGAAGAACACACACTTGAAAGGGCTCCATAATGAAGACTAACGATTTAGGAAAGCGAGTCGATGCCGTCCTCATTAGTTAGCGCAGTGCCCGAACCCCGCCACCTGGCCCCTAGCTAGTCCTTTCACCGCCACAGCATCGCACAGACTCTTTTTATAACCCATCGCATTTTTAATCTTATCCGGAGCTGATTCTTGCATAGTGTGATTTCTCTGTGGCAGGAAACTATATTTATTAAGACATTCAGGTGTTTTCTTCTTACCTTTCTACCTTCCGGTTATGCATAATATTGTCAGAAAAGAATACAAAACTTTAATGTTATTGTTTTCTTGTTAGTGTCAGCAGCAGGTTCCTTTCTGTGTTAATACTAATGAGGCTGCTACTCTCCAACCCAGGGAGCCTAGAACCTTAGGTTAGTGCTGAAGTATTTACAGTGCTCCTGGTACATTGCACGTAAATTACATGTAATAATGATCACGCCAAGGAATTAAGCTATGAATAACCATTGACAGATTTTCCTCTCTGTAATGAATGCTTTGCTAGAAGGTTAAATTTAGAGGCTGTGCTTCAAGTATGAATGACATCTAGTTACTGTCCAAATGAAGATCCAACATGGCACATATGCAGTGGTCCAGTTTCTCTGCTTTTAAGCTGAACGTGGAAAATAATATTTGGTTTTTATTTACTGCTACCTAAGAGATACTCAGAACACATATATCTGTTTTGTTAACCTCAAAAGCATGGCATAAACTACTTTTCTTTCCATGCGGAGAGAGCCCAGTCTTAATCATAGCAGCCTGCCCCTCACTCGGGGCAGCAGTGCTGGGTTAACCGTGCACGGCGTCTGGACAGTCAGGGTCAGGTGCATGTGGACGTGGGGGATACGGACAAGCCTTTGCTGAGCGGTGGCTCATGAGCCTCAGTGCTGCCTCCCAGGGTCAGGCTGCGGTGAATTTGTTGGAAACATGGGAATGGTGGTACACTGAAGATTACATGTCCCCAGAGATTACCGACTTGGGAACTCATCAAGCATCTCCCTCTACGTCTATCTATAATATATTCCCGTTGCTCATCAGGGCTTCATGAAAGCTATTTCTTTCCTCAGAGGCCGTATTTGGGGGTGAGAGAGATGTACATGTTTAGATGGGTCTGTAATCCAGGAAACCATGGCTGAAACCAGTATCCACTGACTGGTTTTCAACGATAGGTTTTGCTAAAGGATTTTGAAGAGGCATTTGGTTTGGTTTCAGAAAATGGTAAAAAGCAAAGCTGTGTTACTGGGTTTCAGAGCCTCTGTCGCTGTCGGCCATTGTAACTCAGAAATGCGGCCCCTGGGACCTTCGTGAGCCCACTGCAGTCTCCCTGACCCTAATTCTCTCAGCAGCGGCCACACCGCTCGCTTTCTGGCCCCCTCCCACCTTTTCTCTGCTTTGCCTTTTCTTCTCCTCCGACTTATTTTAACTAGAATCTATCAAGTCAAGAATCTGAGATCCTTCTGTAATTTGCAATATAGATAATAGTTCTAAATAGTGACTCAGATAGAAACTTTTTTAAAAGTACCAAATAGAGCCGAAACCTATTTGGCTCAGTGGATAGAGCGTCGGCCTGCGGACTGAAAGGTCCCAGGTTCGATTCTGGTCAAGGGCATGTACCTTGGTTAAGGGCATATCCCCAGTAGGGGGTGGGCAGGAGGCAGCTGATCGATGTCTCTCTCTCATCGATATTTCTAATTCTCTATCCCTCTCCTTTCTTCTCTGTAAAAAATCAATAAAATATATTTTTTTAAAAAATAAATAAATAAAAGTACCAAATAGAGTTAGAGGGGGGGAAAATTCTCTGCTATATTTTTTTTCAGTTATGCATACAAAAATACGCCAGCGACAAAAGAATTGGGAACTATTTAAAATGTAGCGAGTACTCAGCAAATCATTGATGGAAAAGTTTTTCAGAATGAGAAAAGTATCAGAAAATGATTTGAAGTTGGGCAGGAATCCCAGAGCAGCTTCTGGAAAGTGTTGTGGTCTCATAGGGGACTGGAAAGTTGAGTCCCCATAGACAGACTCCTCCAGGTGAGTCTGTAGAGTTACAGGGACCATAGCCAAGCCTGGTTCAAGCGACACCTAGGTCATGTGAGGGAAGTTCAAGTGGGTACAGGCAGCACAGAGCCATCAGAGCCATCCGGTCCCCCAAAATCAGGAAGTCATAGCTCCTCCCACTTACACCTTCTTGTAGCTGAGTGTTCAGGAAGCATGATTCCTCCAGCTGATAGCCAGTAACTCCCAGTCGACATCCTTACAGAATACAGAACAAACTTGAACTAAAGCTCTGTCTTCGTTTCTCATCTAAACGAGTGAATCCATCGGTCCCCCTGGGGCCGTCGTCCAGGGCAGTGAAGGCTTCAGCAGCCAGGCGTGCGCTGCGGGTAGTTAACGCCCTGGGTGCGCTGCACGCGTGCGTCTGTGAACAGTGTGTTGACAGCAGTTCTCCTCTGACTTCCCCTGCAGCAAACCCGGTACGAAACATACATCGGCATTCTGAAAGAGGGAGGCAAGAAGCTCCTGGGCAGCAACGGCAGTGAGGCCCCAGGACTGAAGAAGTCGCATTCCAGCCCCTCGCTGAACCCAGATTCCTCTCCGGTCACAGCCAAGGTCAAGCGCAATGTGTCAGAGCGGAAAGACCACCGACCCGAAACACCCAGCATTAAGCAAAAAGTCACTTAGAATCCATCTGCGGCCAGGAAGGGGCTGGTCATGGAGCAAAATAAGAGTTTTTTCAAGATCTTTCTGGTAAATCCGTGAATATATTTAAAAAAAACAACAACAACAATAGTCTGTGACTAAATGGTGCATTAGTAACCTTTTCTATTGTATATTTTTGTTCGTTTCTGTACAGGTTGTCCCTTTGCTCTTGATTTCTTTGCTTTGACGATTTTTGCCACTTGATAACTAATGCACCTTGTTGTGAGGGGAAGGGGGTCATGATTTCAGGTTGAACTGTGTATCATTTCTCCTCTGGTTTTCTCTCGTTTGCACTCTCTCAGTTGTTTTATGTATTCTCGAACCAACTGTTACACTTTTTTTTTTTTTTAAGGTGAAAAAAATTGAACCCATTGTGAACCACTTTACTGGACAAACTTAGTTTAGTCAGTTCCAGCCAGACTTAACATAAACCTTCATATGTGAATTCTTGCCAGTCACACAGGTGGCATCGAGCACTCACCGAACTTGGCTTCAGAATTCCAGTTCGGGAATCCGGTGCCCATGCTGATGCAGCTGTGCGGGCACCTCAGCACTTGTCTTTGGGGTCTGACCCTGCCGGAAGCAGGGAGAGGGGTATGGAGATCGCAGGACTGGAGAACTTACAAAGCTGGAGTGTTGAATCCATTCCAGCCAAGCAAGGGAAGAGGAGGTGGGACCTGTTTGCTACTGAAGGTTGAGGAGAGATGACACCAGGTTCATTTTGTTCTCTGAAGAAGCATGACCATGATCACTTCGGGAGCGGCAGCAGGAGGCACGTGTGCACGCTGCAGGAACTGTTACCTTGCTCCCACGAGGTCTAGACCAGGAATCCAGAACCATCTCTGTTGTCATCACTCTGTCATCCAGGAGTTTAAACGTGTGTAGGCAGCTGTTGTGTCCTGGTTGTAAGAACATCGGGGTCTTAAGCAAAACAAGTCAGAGAGGAACTGGGAGCTGCAGGTTTCCAGCATCGGAATCCTGAGTCTTTAAAGTCAGCCTGAGAGGAATACATAGTCTGAATGGACTGTGGTTGGAAAAGTGAGGAATCTGCCGGTTGCATATACCGAGTAATTTAGTTTATTCTTATCTTAGTCTCTTTGATGGTCACTTCCCTTTGCTCCTCCTGAACTTTCTCCTAAGAATAGACTTTATTTCAAATCCTTTCTGTCTACTCAAAATAGTTCTATTGACCTTGAAGTCATAAGCTTGTTTCTGTGACGGGCCCTGTGGAATTCAGGGCGATAAAAAGAACATTCTCTTGTATAGGAACAGATTGGAGTGAAAATTGAGTTAGAACTTTCTGATTTTGAAACTTTGTGATTCTTAAAGCTGTCATCTCCACAATTTCGGAACTGGAGGCGTCACTTTGAATGCTCTTTTTCCCTCCCACAGAAAATTGCTCCAGTTCTACTCAGTGTATTAGTTAACGGTACTGTGACCAAAGAATCGGAGACTCCGCATGCGTAGGATGGCTCCAGGGAGTCAGAGAAAGCCTGCTCTTACACCGTGGCCGTTTCTAGTGGCATTTAATCATAGGATTATTTATTCACATCTACTTCCTGCCTATATATATGTTCGTAGTTGATGGTGCCCAGGAAAGAGTGACCCCTCGCTAAGGTTATTGCAGCTTGTTTTGTGGTAAGTACTTTGCCACACCTTCGGAAAACTCACTCTAACCTTCTATCTTGTGTAGATAAAGGCAGTGACAATTTATGTTTCAGAACCAAGAAACAAATAGGACAGTTACCAAGATGGCTCATAGACCTGATTCATTTCTGTAGCTTCTGACTGAGTTCAAGATTCCCACAAGGAAATCATCTTTCTTCCTAGAATCTGAACGATCGGCCTGCTTGCTTTCTGCCTAGTTCTTTATCCTGAGCCGAGGCGAGACGGGTACCTAGATGACATTGTCTCTGAGCTTTGATAACTAAAGAAAGAAAGAAAAAAAATTCCCTGGCTGGCTTGATGTGTCTGCCCACAGTGTGCGTGAGTCTGTGTGCATAGTGTCCCTGTGTGTTCGTTCCACTTGTCCTATTTAATAAACAGAACGGTACCTTGCCGCTGAGCCTGGGGTTCAGAACAGTTCTGCTAACAGAATCCTGGTTAGCACAGCAGGGCGTTGCTCCTGTTGTGTGAGTCACTGATGTGTCTCCAGGGGCTTCTGCACATGCTGACAGCAGTGGGATGAGAAGGCACTTCTGAGGCTGCGGTGTGCTGTCTTTGCATAGTGTACCTTTAAAAACAACCGCAAGGCTATTCGGTGAGCCAGGGGCAGCCTGCCCTGCCATGATGTTGTCCATCTTTAGGGGATGAGCCACGAACACCTCCCTGTGGCCTCTCAGGTGTCAGTCTGTTGGCAGTGCTCGTAGCAGGCCAGGAGTTTATCCTGTAGGAGGAAGCGGGCCCCGGTTGGACGAGATTGTGAGAACCGTGACCATAGCCAACCACGTTTTCTTTTGCAATAATTTCTTTCCTATGGCATCTAGTCAGAAGAAATCAAAGACATTCCTTTCTCCGCTAACCCAAGCCCACTGCCTAATGCACGGTACAGGGGAACTCTCCTCCCCCTCTCCTTCCGACGGTACGCCCCCTCCCCCGCCCGCTCTTCCCTCCCATGTGACAGCATGGAGCCGAGTCCCTCTCCACGTGGTAAACCGTTATTCCTCTTTACACACATGCACTTCCTATTGATTTTCAGCCTAGAAAACCTTGATAGTCATCAAAAGACTCTGTGGCCATGCCGCTGCACCCTTGAGCCTAGCAGTGGCCCGTGGGTTAAATCTCTGCGAGTTTCAGGGCTGGTTCCTGCCTCGCGTGCTGACTGTTACAGGGAGGTGCCAGGAATTGCCTGTTAGCAATCACGACTGAGTTACTTGCAGGCAGAGGCCTTGTTTTATTGCCAGGCCATAGATACTATGTGAAGTGCACTTTTTAAAAAAGCATCCTATCATTAACTCTTAGCAATGCCTAGGTAAGCCGAGCAATACTTGTGCGCAGTTTAACTCATCTCATTAAGACCAACGTGTGGGAGATTCCCCCGGTGCAACTGGAGTTCCCGGGCAGAGAGCGGCCGCCCCAGGCCCTCCGTGCTTCTCCGAGGCGGGCACTGTTCCTGGTGAAAAGTGGTGTGCGGGGATTCATTCTGGGAGAGGAAGGTTGGCTGGCTGCCGGGGCTTCGCCGGGCTTGGTCTCTTGGGTTTGTATTTCACCTGTGGCCACACCGCAGGACTCCTGAGGCTGGAGGGGAGCTGAGACCAGCAGCAGGGAAGGAGGTCCTTGGCGGCCGAAGCACAGAGTTACGGGGTTCCCTGCTGGCCCTCGCCCGCTGCTCCTCTGTCGTGAGAGGAGCCCGGGAGGTGTGCTTAGGCGAAGCGGGGCCTTCTGTGGCAGGCGCCACCTCTCCTCTGCCTTCATCCCACGTCAGACAACTGGGAGAAAACGGGCCTTACAGAAGTCTCCCCATTGTCATATGATGAAGACTTCCTTGGATTTGGTTAGTTGTTCTGCAATTTGAATTCCGTTGGCATTTTTCCTTGCAGTCAATTGAGCTTTTTAAGCCTGAATTCATAGGGAGTTAACTGGCAGATCTCCGTTGTGTGTCTCTGGTGACCCTGCCCAGTGTCCAGTGGGTGGTAGTCACCTTCCTTCATCTCAGCAGCGAGCAGTCCCTTCGCTCTTCCAGTGGCAGAATTGTTCCCAGGTGTAAGTCGGAGCCACGGTGGCATCCTAGGGCTTGTGAAAGTAGAGTCTGGTGTGAGGAAGAGTGTGATTCGGGGTTTTAGTAGCATCTACGTCACTGCGACAGGAAGATCAGCCCCCTCTGCAGGCAGAGGCGCCTTCGGGCCGACCTTGCCCCAGAACTCTCCGGCTGTCCCTCCTCCCAGCAGGCCACCATCCGCCTCCCCACCAGCCTCTGGCATCTCGCCATCCAGTCATCCCGAGGACCTTAGAGATCAGTCGTTCACCACAAAATGCTCCCAGCAGGTGAGAGAGAGGTGCTCGGTCACTGCCTCTCCTCTCGGCTACCCTGTCCATGCCTCCCTCCTACCGGAGGGCCGGAGTCCACAGTCATTGCCATTCTCATTTTGCACCTAGAGTATCAAACGCAAGCGGGCAGCCTGCTGCAAGGACGGTGCATGCGGGGAGAATGTCTTCATAGGGAGAATGTCGGTAATACTTGAATCTGCATGGCAGCTTGTTGACTTGAATGCAACAGCAAGAAAATATTGCAAGTTATGTAATTGTATATACCATAGGTTTCCTTCCGTCTCTTTGGCTCGCCCTGTGTGATGTGTATGTGTGTATCTGTACTATTGCAGGCTTTTGGAACATATCCATGTAGATAGTATGTCAGGCATCGAAGAAAATGCTTTCCTGTCACCTGCCAATGTTGTGTTTGCGGGTATTTATGGCTGTATGTATGTATGTATATGTTATTCATGTGTAGATGTATATCAGTATATGGTGTATGTACATCCAATTTATTTTTGTCCTTAATAACCAGTGCGATATGAAAAGCAAGTAAAAACCTCATAGGATTGAGTATTTAATTCTATTATTGAGAACATATATAGTGGTACTGTTTTATTCAACTTAAAGTCAAATGATATTTTGATTAAATTTTTGAAATAATAAGATTTTATGCTAGAAAATTTCATCTTTGAGCTTTGAATCACCAGGGCAAAAAAAAAAAAAAAAAAAAAGACTCAGAACTAACTTTGTGAAACTGTTTCAATGTCCTGTGTTCACTACCGAGGGGGGTCGCTCATCATAATTTGAGATTACAGAAAGGGGCGAAGAAACAAAACAAAACAAACAAATAAGCCGTCTTAGCAACTTCAGTATTAAGAGCACTTAAACAGGATGTCAAACTGACAGCTTGGGGCTTTTTACAAAATGCGATGCTTTGAAGCACGCGTTCTTTATCGTTGTAATTAGTCCCGGAAAATAGAGCTTTGAGGAGAGCTCAGTAAGGACCCACCACCTCATGCAGGTGCCTGCGCCTGTGCTGTGGTGGGTCAGACCCTTCCTCAGGCCGCATCCTTCCTCCCTCCTGTAGAGCGATAGTCCACACGCTGCCGTGTATCAGGGCTTCCCAGGTCCGGGTACTGTAGTCCAGGCTCGCAGCTGCACACCTCGCATCTGGTGTCACGGGTAGAAGGATTCTAGGGCAGGCTCTGGACCAGGTTAAAAGTTGAATATTTTTATACTTCGGTCTCTTTCTGCCTCTCCCCAAAGAAGAGCCACCGGCCTTAGTTGTTGGAGCTGCTGCTTCTCTGGCAGCGTGTACATAGGAAGAGATTCCGTTTTCCCAGCCAGCATGTTTGGTGTGTGCCCAGCTGCATCTGAGTGTGTGTGAGTGCGTGGTCGAGGCCTCTTGCTCTTGTGTCTGATCCTGAATCAGAGTCTGGGGTGGAGAGAGACCGACCTTCGGCTCCAGGCTGCAGCCCTGTGTTGGTGGTTAGAACTTGAGCTTTTTTTTTTTTTTTAATTCACTCTAGTCTCGAATTATTTTTGCAAACCTGCCATAGTCCTGATCTGTTCTTGATGTGCGGTGACCTGGCTCTGACTGATCGGCAGGTCTTTGTTCTGCGCGAGTGTGTTTCCTTCTAAGAATTATAGTGCTTTGCAGAAATCATACACTAAAGGAGTCACAACAATAAAAAAAAAATTTTTAAAAAGCTTCATTTTGGGCCTTAATTAGTTGACATGTTTGGACTTTCAGTACAAAGCCATGTAGGTTAGGAAGCCAAGGAACCTTTGGCGTGGATAATAATATCCGCTCTGCAGAGCGTGTATGCACATTGATGTTTAATGCCAGTAACATACTTTTTTTAAGCTATAGGAACAAGAGTAATTAGACCAAATTAAAGTTGGGGGTGGAGAGCGTGAGCCGGCCACCTTCCCTTGGGGGGTGGACGTGCGTGCGGCCAGTCCTCCGCTCTGAGAGATGGGGAACCAGTTTCCTGTCCTGTCCGGTGTGTAGGGGGCAAGGTCCCCACATCGGGGCCTCTCACCTGTGTACGTACGCTTGCACACATGTACACACAGTGAATGTTTTAAGTTATACTTAAGACACCCCGGGCCAGAGGGCTCTAAAGAGGCGACGGGCAAGGGGGTGGGAATGGCATCCCAGGATGTTCCCCAGGGGCCCGGGGAGTGTCTGTGGCCGGGTGTCTGGCTCTGAGATGCGCTGCATTTAGCCAGTAAATGAGGGGATCCGAGTCACATCCTTCCTGGCGGGCCACCCCCCTGAGGCTCGCTGGTCATTCCCAAGAAGCTGCTCTCCACATCCCGCAGCAGCCTGGGGTGGCTCCAGAGGCCTGGCGCGCTGGTTTCCCAGGCGGCATTGCGGCTGGCTCCGGAGAGGATTCCAGAAAGAAGCCACAAAGCACTTACCGAAGTGCTTGTCCGCCTCCCCTCTGCGCTGCCCTGCCGAACCGCTAAGCACTTTCCATCAGCCCCATGGGGAGGGACTGGCCCGTGTTTCCCGCCGCAGGGCAGAGAGCTCGCTCTCACAAATAGTGTTATAACATACGCACCTTAACTTCAATCCCTGAACACGTTCATCGGTGGAGAAAACTTTGGAGTTTCACTTGCTATTTGCCTGCGAGCCTGCCTTGATCCGTCTGTAGACACGAAGTCCCTGCCACAGAGTTGAGCGGAGAGCAGCATGGCAGGTCTGAGGCTCCTGGCTCCGGCCCCTGGCCTGGGGCCCACGGAGGGGGCATTCTTTCCGCAGAGAGGAACGCACCAGGCCTTGCACTCCACGTGGGCTCCCCCTGGGCAGCAAGTGCACCCTGGGTTCCACATGGCTCTCCCCGGCTTTGGGAATCCAGTGTCCTAACGGGCTGACCCTGCTGAGGCAGGATATCCGCTCTGAGAGGGACCGGGCACTGGGGGTGGGGGGGGGGGGGGGGCATGTGACAATAATGGTACCAAATGTGACATGGCTGAAGCCACGACACGCTGGCACACTGAGCTCTAGCCAAGGATGGGTGATATCTTGGCTTTGGCACCCAGATTTCTGGAAATGCAAAACATTTCATTTCTGGGGGAAGGGTCAAAGCACACTAAGCTGACTGCTTAGCCGGCTGCTCAGTCCCAGGGGAGAGCTGTGGGGTGAGGGCCTAGACGCCTCCCTGCCTTCCCTTCTACCTCACGTTTCAGGAGCCGTTTCTAGAACAGGAATCACGCAAGTGGAGAACCAATGCTGTCGGCCTTGACTGCTGCAGGCCGGGCAGGGGAGGCCGTTTGTGTCTTTAAATAAGGTGACCAGACATCCTGCTTTTTAACAATTTGTCCCGCATCCTGCAGCATTTTAAGAAAGTCCAAAAGTCACCTTTACTAGCGTGTGTACTATAGAAAGCAGGCTTTTAGCTTGCCAGCCTGTTGACGGGATTGCACTCCCTGTGGCTCAGGCTAGTGGGCAGGGACGGGCAGTGTGGAACATTCCCTCACCTTCAAAGTTTTCTCCACCCACCATTTCAGTCCCATCGCCGTGCTGGTGCCACAGTCCCTGCAGGTTGTGAAAGCGATCAGTGACAGGTAGCAGCCACTCGTAGTCAGTGGCCAGACCATCAACATTGGCGGACGGGTGAGCTCACGGTACCGAGTCACGTCCTGGAAGCGTGTTCCCCGTCGCCACCTGCCTGGCGGGCGGGAGAAACGCATCTCTCAGAACATGAGGGCATTTTGGGGTGGCCGCCCTGGGGACGGAGCAAGTAATGTATGTGGATATTGTTAAAGTGTTTAAAGGATATTTTAAAAAATTAAGTTTACATTTTACAATTGCTTTATTTTTATTAAAATGGTTGTACATAAATATGACATTTCACTGTTGTTGAAGTAAAACTAAACCGTGTAGACGCGTGAGTCCCTGCGGTGTATAGAAGCCGTGAGATATATATATATATATATATATATTAGTACATTTCTCTATTGTGTAAATGTTCATGGATAGAGCTGTTCCTGTGTTTTTATAAGTTGGGGCTAACTTGTTTCACAACAACAAAGTTTATTGCACTTAAATGGTTTTTATGTGATAGAAATCATGCGAACTAGTGAAGGATTTAAAGTATGTATATGATATATGTAAATGTACAAACTCTAGCAAGAAATAAATACAACGGATTTCAGTCATTTTCCAGAATGTCTTCATTTGCTTATTTTAATCACCTGCAATAATCCCTTTACAGTTCAAAACAAGCACCACAACACACCCTCTCCTGCAGGAAAGAAAGCAGCGGCCCCACGGTGAGCAATTTGGCCAGAGTGTGTGAGGGAGGTGGTGTGAACGCCAAATTGTTAATGGACTCACCTGTTTCTTTTCAAACATACTTTTATTGATTTCAGATATTGGAAGGGAGAGGGAGAAAGTGTTAGAAACATCACTGATGAGAGAGAATCGTCGACCGGCTGCCTCCTGCATGCCCCACATTAGGGATCGTGCCCTCAACCCGGGTACATGCCCTGACCTGGAATGGAACCATGACCTCCTGGTTCCTAAGTCAACACTCAGCCACTGAGCACCATGGCCAAGCCTGACCCACCTCTATTGACTTCCATGAAAATTCATGTTTGCGTGAGGATGTTGGTGAGACTGAAAAAGCCTGCTGTCTCCACTGGGGGGGAAAGGGGGGTACTCGATCTTGAGCAGGGGAGGAACAAAACCTTTTGAAGTAATTTCAAGAATTCATCTGCATTCCCTTGTACTCCTAATTCTTCTCACCAAGGCATAGGGACCAAAGGGTCCTTATTGCCCGCAAATGCTCATCACTGAGGCATGGTGCCTGTGTGTACACATTCTCATAACCACACTTCACAGGAAAAGTAACATCTGTGGACTTGGAAAATGGAACAAAAAAATTCTATCCTGGTCACTTTACTTCTGAATATTGAGCATTCCATGTTTGGAGGTTTGGACTTTTCTGAAGTAAGGTCGCTGGTGACATCCTCCTAAACATGAATGAAACTGCTGCCTGGAAGAGACCAAAACTGGGATGATGTAAATTTTAAAGAAAAAAATGGCTGGGGCTGGGTGGGTCCTATTCGGAATGTGAATCTGAAAGACGCATCCTCTTATACAAATGCTGAATCATTTTACATCTGGAACTAATGTTATCTGTCAATTACATTGCAATTTTTTAAAAGATTGAAAAACAAAAACATGAATCTTCATTGTCCAGTTGTCTGTCCTCTGGAGCCAGGAGCTTTGTGTATCTCATCCTATTGTTTGCTACACAATATTAGACCCAAAGGATCTATATGGATCTTTTTTTTTTTTTTAGAGAGAGAGAGACGTTGATTTGTTGTTCTGCTTATTTATGCATTCATTAGTTGATTCTTGCCTTGACTGGGAATCGAACCCACAGTGTTGGAGTATTGGGACACAGCTCTAACCAAATGAACTACCCCGCCAGGGCATATAAATTGTTTTTAAAAGTGAACATTCATGAGAGGAAACTCAGAGCAAATTAAGATATTATAATGAAAAAACTAGCAACTCTTAACAAATGTGTCCTCTGTCCCACAGTACTCTGAGACTTGCCATTGAGACTGATTAGTCACTGTTTTTAATGGAAAAACGTGTAGGCAGCAAGAAATACTGGAGACAGGCCTGTCGGAGGAGGGAGGGAGTTAAGGATGTTGTAGACCGGCGAGCTCAGTGTAACTCTGGGCACCATTTTAGAGTGAATAACAAAGGGAAGCAGCAATTACTGCAACCCAGCCTGGCTTCCCAAGAACAAATCATTCCAGCCTGCATTCATTCCCAATTTTGTAAGATTAGGTCCTTAG